GGCGAGGTCGCCCCCGGGGCCTCACGCACGGCCAGGCTGACGGGTGGCGTTTGGGCGGGTGGGGCCGCGCGCCGCTGCCTTGTCCTACCACAGAGCACACATTTAGGGTTTCGGGGAGGGCGAATGCCCTGTTCCGATGGAATTCTCGTGGGTGGCTGGGCAAGCTCACGGCCACATTTCCAAAATCGACTCCATCTTTTGCAGCTGACAGGATCTCACATCACTCGGGAACTGACAGGCCTCTGTGTCATGTTGTGAAACTCCGTGATGTGCCAGGAATGTCTCCGCAGGAACGCGGCGAGAAGCCCGCGGTGGACACTGGGCTCTCCCGGGGAAGAGCGGCAGACCAGGCAACGCTCCGCGGTCAGCGGGGACCCAAACAGGACAGGCTCGTGGTGCCAGCCCCGGCGGGGGCGCGGGGTCCTGTGGAGCACAGCCGCAGGCCCCCGGGGCCCTCGGGACAGAGCCTGGCCCCAGGCCGTGGGCACAGAGAAGCAGCCTTGTGGCTCCTGGCTGGGCCACTGCCACGCTCTGCCGCAGGGATGGAGTAGATTCGCAACTCCCGCGGCCATCTGCCGACCCTCCCAGTGCTGCCTCACCCTGCAGGAGATGGCTGGCCTTGGGGACTTGGGGACTGAAGCGGACCCACCTGAGCCTGAGGAGGGAGCAACTCAGGGCCCAGGCTCTGAGATAGTGGAGAAGACAGGGCCCCGATTCATGCCATTCCCTGGGGAAATGGAGTCAGATGGGGCCACACCCCTTCTGGGACCCCAGAACCCAGCTCAGGACCTCAGCGGGCCCCTTCCCTGTCAGCCACACACTGGGCCCTCCCAGCCTGGGACTCTGCCAAGCGTGGCTGGGTGGGGGTCTGTGTGGCGAGGGGCCCCAAGTGGGCCGGGGGCTGGGCCCCTTAGCCCTTGGCTGCCCCTGAGTGCCCCCTTCCCTGGGCAGGCACACACCCCAAGAATAAGTGGTCAGAGCATGTGTGCTGGAGGGTAGAAGCCCAGTGGCCACGGCGCCTGACCGACCCTTCACCTCCCTTCCCTCCACCAAAATGCACAAAGGTGATTCTTCTTAGACGTTGAAGATAATGGAGAATTATGCCTGGAAGTTGTAACAAGAGGCAAAGGATTCCTCTGGAACGCTCTACCCTTCTTATGTAAATTAAAACCTCTGCCAGGCTCCAAAATTACAGGGTGGCGAGTCCCTCTTAATCTTTTTCAATCATTTCTATTGTGTGAGCCTCCCGGATGGTAATAATGGGCTGCTCTGTGGGCAAAGTGAGTAGATGAGCAAGCGCGTGGTTTACTGTGGCTTTGAGGGGTCATCAGGGAGGGGGGGACGGGCAAGGGTCCACAGCTGACTGGCGGCTGGAGGCTCAGCGAGACCTGTCCTTTCCCAGGGCCCTGGAGCACGTTAGAGGTGACTCCTGTCCGTGGGGCCACAGGGGGCTGAGGGTCCGTCCGAGGTGCTCTTGCGGGACAGATGGCCTGTGTCAGCGGGCGCCGTGCCCCAGGCCTGAAGCCCAGCCCCCGTGACCGCGCCCACAGACCCTTGCTCCCCACTTGGGTCACCCCAGGTGGGATGGCAGCTACCTGGACTGCTTCTCCCACCCTCTCCGACCTTGGGGTCTGACACCCAGACGCCAAAGGCTGCGCACGCGTGGCTGGGACAGTCACGTCAGCCCAGTGGTGCCGCCGTCCCACTGCCCGTGGGGGTTCTTGAACCCGCTGCCGACACCCACAGACCACTTTGCGCCCCTGGTCGCTGGCCACTGGGAGGGGGGCAGCATGTGGTGGGTTTCTGGGGGTGGAAGCCATCTGCACACACCCCATCTTGGCCCCACGGAAATTCTTAAACTTTGGGAACTTGGTTGGAAAGGACGGAGCCTCTAGAGTCGCTGGAGGGCGAGAGGGAGTGGGTAGAGGCCGTGGTCTGGGCGGGGTGGTGCCAGGGCCCTTGGCCCTGCCTCCCTGGGGCTGTGTTGTGTGTGGCCCCTTTGTTGCCACAGGGGGAGACGGGGTTGGGAGGGCCGCCCCCTCCCAGCCTTTCCCCCCCACTTTCCCCTCCCTCCAGGGGGCTCTGTCTAGACTAGGAGGCAGACTGCAAACCCACAGCCAGAAATGCAGAATGCCAGGCTGGGTTGCCCAGTTGGCCTGACGCAGTCTGTGGGGGGACCTGGGGGGAGAGCCGACGGGGTCCTGCACCCCACCACAGGCCCGCTCGCCGTTACAGAAGGTGGGGTCCGAGCGGTAGCCTTCCCGGGAGGCCAAGGTGTGTGTGAGATGGCATCTCAGCCCCCTGTGGAGGGGAAGGCGGTGGCTGCGTGCTGGGTGGGGGCTGGTCTGTGGCAGGAAGCTGCCAGAGCCCCTCCCAGATGCTCCCTCCCCCATGGGTCCTGGCAGCTGGGGGCTCGCAGAGCGTCGGGAGCATCTCGTTCCCTTGACCCTGTCTCGTTCACGTGGAGGTGACCCCAGGGGTGGTCCAGAGGGCCACCACACATCCGAGACGTGGGTGGGGTTTCCTCACGGCCAACCAGACCCAGCGTGAAGTCCAGGCCTTCTGACCTGCCAGAGTCAGCCTGGGTTGCTAGGAAGGATGGTTTTCTTAGAATTCCAAAAGGTGGGCTTTGGGGGTCAAGAGCCAGGTTTGGATGCTGGTGTGGGGAGTTGGTGCCCGAACCAGAGTCAGAGGCTGGTGGGGGGACATTGGGACGGCCCCTGTCCCCACAGCAGAGCCGGTAGAGGGTGCTGGGGCCGATGCTGGGGGCCTCGGGCAGGTTCCCCCTCACTCTTCTGTGCATGGGGCCGGGGGACCACAAGGCACCCAGATGGGGTAGGGGGACTTGGGGGCACAGAGCAGGGGACCCTGAAGGCAGTTGTGGGGGTGGTGGGGTCTGAGAGAGGTGACGTGCCACACAGACCCTGTGACAGGGGCAGGGGAGGGGGCTCAGTGGGGCATTCTGCAGCCACATCAAGGCTCAGACCTGTGCCTGCAAACGTGCCCCCCCCGCCCCGCAAGTCATGGGATACGCTGGAGCTCACCATGAAAACCATCTTTCCAGGCTTCTTATATGTGGAAGTCATCAGCTGGGCCGCCCAGAGATTTGGGCTCCCTGGGGAGAAGGGGCAGCAGCCCCCACGAACCTCAGACAGGGGCAAGAACGCGTCACGGCCACGTCACCGGCTCACAAAGCTCACTCACAGAGATGCGGAGCATTCCACACGCAAACGTGCCTTCCTGGGACTGCCACCCCCCAGGACGAGGGCTGCGGTCGGACCCCTCTCCACTGGCGCTGCCACCCCCCAGGACGAGGGCTGCGGTCGGACCCCTCCCCACCGGCGCTGCCACCCCCCAGGACGAGGGCTCTGGTCGGACCCCTCTCCACTGGCGCTGCCACCCCCCCCAGGACGAGGGCTCTGGTCGGACCCCTCCCCACCGGCGCTGCCACCCCCCAGGACGAGGGCTCTGGTCGGACCCCTCCCCACCGGCGCTGCCACCCCCCAGGACAAGGGCCCCAGTCGGACCCCTCCGTCCTTTTCCTCAGGAGGACCAGACAGCGAGGGCCTTCTGTTTGCTCAAAGTCGCCACGGTGACAGCCCTGAGCCCTGAGCCCGGGGCTGTGTGTGGCTGTGTCTGCTTCTGGCCCGCACATGCGTTCCCGCCACCGAAACACAGGGTGGCCGCGGCGTCTCCACGTTTAGCAGATCTTGGCCGTTTTTCCCACGTCTCTGCTTCTCTAGTTACTGTGCAGAGCGGGCCACATAGTTAATTCACACACCATGACTCAGAGCCACACGCAAGGGAGGCACCTTCCCCGGGAAACAGCGCGTCCCGGCTCTGCTGCGTGAGCGGGATCAAAGGCTTGTCAGCCGGCCGACACGGTGCCAGCCTCCGGAGTCCCGGCCCGGCCCACGCCCACTGGCGTCAGCGATGAGCAATCTAACTGCGGGAAGGCGTCAGGCTGTGGCGGCTCAAGGCGGACGCCACAGGCCCTCTTCCCATTTCTCCTGGATTTCTGTTACCTCAAGTTTCACCACCGGGTCTATGCCCACAGGCCTCTGCCCACGAGCGTGGCTCTCTCTGCAGCCCCCTGGCTGGTGGGTGAAGAGAGAGGTGCGCCCCGGGCGCGGGCGCCACGGCCCCTGGGGCTGATGGGACCACATGCGCCTGTCAGAGGCCTGCCCTCGCTGGCAGGTGGGCATCTGGGAAGGCCTGGCACCCGTCCCCGCTGCCAAGGGGCCACGTTGTCCCCCGCTCCGCCCACACTGGGCCCCGTGCACCCTGTCTCCCAAGGGAGGACTCCTGTCTTTCAAGAGCAGGTGATTTTTCTCAGGGTCGGCGCGCCACATTGTCAGGATATCCTGCTTGCAGCCCCGGGTCTGCTCTGCTCCAGGCCCCAGCAGCAAAGGAGACCATGGGAGGCGGCGGCTCCCAGCTGCTCGGGGAGCCCTGGGGGGGAGCGAGGTGAACTCAGTCGGGCCACAAGGTACTGACGAGGGCGGTCTCCTCGGCCCCCGCAGTGGGGCACACAGCCCTGTACAGTGGGTCTGCTCTGCTGCAGGACAGGCGTGTGGGGACCCTGGGCCTGTGGCAGGTATGTGGCTGGCATGTGGTGAGCCCGTGGCCGCCTGGCACGCAACAGTGAGGAATGCTCTGCTCACCCTGTGGGCCCCTCCCGGCCTCTGCACACACTCGAGGAGTATCTCTTTCTGCCCACCTGGCCCCTGGAGGAAGGACCAGTGCGGCTTCCCCACCACCGGCATTATATGAAGAAGCAGGCCACCCTGCTCTGCCCACCTCGGGCCTATCTGAGTGCATGGTTCAGCACGGCCTGACTGGACCAGGGCTGGGCTCCTGTGAGCCGGCAAGCCTGGCCTCTCCTGCTGTCCAGGCCACAGAAGCACCTGCAGCCCCCGGGCACCCTGACCTCTGCCTGTGACGGCATGCACCTGGGAGGCTACACCCGCAAACGCCCCGAGTCGGTCAACCTCTCCTACCTGCTGCCTCCTGGCGGGTCCTGCACGGTGGGCATCGTCCTCCTGGGGCCCAGGCTGCCTCTGGGCCTACAGCCCGCCTCCTAGAAGGAGTGATGGGGGAGGGCTCAGAGGGGCTCCCGGGTGCCCTGGCTCAGCGCTGGGCAGCGTGCAGGCTGAGCCATGGCGGGGGTGGCGGGGGGGTCTCCCTGCCCCTACCTCACGGAGGCCGTCGAGAAAGAGAATGGGGCTGTACCCGGGCGGTGGGGGCCCAAGGCGGACATCCGAGAATCGGGCGCAACCTTGTTCGACACACCGGCAGTCCTCAGGGCAGTGGGGCTCACAACCCCGGGAAGAGGAGGAGGTCTCTCCTGAGAAGTGAAGAACAGAAAGACCCTCTGCAGTAGCACGAAGCCAAGATTGGAGAGAACACTTCCCGTGGCCTCTCCGAAGCACAGCTTCTGCAGCTGAGCTGGCTGGGGCCATGGGCGGCCATGTGGGCCCGGGGTGCTGGAGCCCTGCTGCCCAGAGCACTGCCGTGTGGCCATATCCAGGTGAGTGGCCGGGCAGGGGGCAGGGCCTGGCGTACACGGCAGGCTCCAGGCCGGTATATTTTGGGGCCCACCATGAGGGCCTGGCAGGCCGATTCTTTGGGGCTGGGAGGGTCCTGGGTGCCCGGGACAGGTCCTGGACAGGCCCCAGGTCAGAGGCCCTGCCCTGGGCCGGGCTGGGCTGGGCCTCTCCTGCCCTGTGTGCCGCGAGGAGGACATTTCTACTTCATGGCTGCATGATGAGCATGGAACACGAAGCCACTGGCAGCCACCAGCCCCCATTAGGGGCAGCAGCCTCCAGGAGACCCCCAAATCCTCTGGCATCTAAGAATGGCAGTGGGCTGGACTCAGCCCTGCAGCAGGTACCCCCACTGTGGACGCTGTCCCTCCTGGCTTTCTTCATTCCCCTGCTCCTGGCACCCCAAGGTGTGAGGGGGACGGGGCGTTTCCTTCTGGCGGTCCCCTCCCCAGGCTCCATCCCACTGGGCTGTCCCCTTCCTTCCGTCCCATGCACAGGAAGTTGGCGGCTCGGACGGGGTTGTCACCAGGGCTGTCCCAAACACACATGTGTCAGGACCCGCTATCCTGTAGGGGGCTGGGCTCCCGGCTTTCCTGACCGACCTCTGTCCTGAGGTCCCTGCCCCGCGCTCGCACACCGTCAGGGAGAAGCCACCAGCAGGAGTGGTCAAACCTCAGGGAGGAGGCTGGACGGGGCCCGGGGGCTGTAAGCATTAAAGCCCCTTCCCTGGAGCCCGACTTCTGCAGACGGGCCCCAGAAGTATTTCCAAATCACAAGTAGGGAATAATTTCTCTCAGAGGTGTCTTCATTTCATCCTTACGGCGCATTCTAAAAAGTAAAGTCTGTCCTTTGGCAAGGACATTCTTTAATGCCCTTCTCACCATTAGCTTTTGCTGTCCTCACGCTATTTATGTCCTGGGCAATGACTGGGGGCCGCAGGGCTGATGGCCGTCCATGGACGGCTTCCAGTGGGCTCGAGCGGAGCTGGTTGCCTCCGGACGGTAAAGACCCCGGCTCTGTACCCTAGACCCCCGTCCAGGTGACCGCACAAGAGTAGGTCGCGGGTGCACCTCAAACAGCAACATGCCGTTTGCCGGGGTGGGGGTGGCGGGGGGGGACTGGCACACCCAGCCCGGAGCACGTCCCCTCCCTCAGCTTGGAGCCAAGCCGCTGCAGGCAGATCCTCCCAGAAATCTCCGGGCCTCTCCGAGCAGAGGTTCCGTCATTACGACCACGTGGTGGGGAGAAGCCAGGCCCAGAGCGCCAAGGGCGCCGCCCTGCTGACCTCCACGCTCTGCCGGGAGGCACGGATGTCACTGAACTCAGCAGGGCCCATGGGCGGGCGGCACAGGCACAGCCAGTGCGGTTCAGTAAAACCGCATCTTCTAGCCACAGGCTTGGCACCCGCCATCACCTGGTCTCCCACCCGCCCCTCCCCACTCACCGCCACAGGTCTCCCTCCGTGCCACCCATGCCCATGGACCAGAGCCCCCTTCTTGTCCAAACTGAGAGAAACGCAGCACCAGTGACCTTTAACCGAAGCAGACGTGTGTCTGCGTCGGAGAGGCAGTCTTCTAGACTTGGCCTGCTCGGGCCCACAGGGCGCCGAGGTCCCTTTCCTGCATACGAGGGCCCCTTTGGCACATGGGGTTCGCACACCTGGCCACCCCCGCCACTGTCCCCACCTCTCAGATGTGACGCCCAGGCCTGCTGCCACCTTCCCAGGGATGGGCACCTCTGGTGCTCGGGGCACAACCTAGCCTGGCCAAGCTCGGTCCCTGCACACCGGCCCCTCCTCTTGGACACGGCCCCGTGGCCTCCTTCGCCTCCACGTCTCAGCTGGACCATAGCTTCCCGGCTCGAACATCCAAGCAGTCACTCAGCTTCTATCTGCTCTGCATGTGAGATGTCCTAGCGGGCCGGGCCTGCTGTCCCCTGCCACCCGCCCAGGGCGCCTGTGGGGTGGGTGGTGTCTCGGCCTGGCCACAAGCCTCAGATAGAGTGTGCACCCCGTCCCCCCATGGAAGGTCTGGGAGAGGCTTGCAGACCCTGCTCTGCCCCCGAGACAGAATGGGGGAGCTCTTGGGGCTGCGTAGGAGTTGAGAATCCACTTAAAGCTGCATCTGCTCAGGGTGCTGTCAGCTCAAATCTTCACCAGGAGAATTTAGAATCTGGGTTTCCCACAACCTCGGCCCAGTGTCCCCGGCCCTAACACCAGTGCACCTTGCCTGGGCCTGCACTGCTCTTGGGCACCAGTGGCCACAACTGACCGCCCCCCGCCGCCTCCGTGGGTGGACATCCAACGCTGCCGCCCCCATCCACACCCCCTTTGGGTGGGCGCCTTACTGCGCTTGGAGGTGAGCACCACGTTGGTCCAGCTCCGGCCTCCTCGGGGTCAGATTCCCTGCCCCAGATCCTTGCAGGAATCTTCATGGGCTGCCTCCCAGACGGAGCTCTGGGTCCCCCAGACCCAGTTCCTACCCTGCAGGTCCCCCACTCTTGCTTGCTCCACCAGAAACGTGGGCGACATCCTTGATTCTGCACCCCCCCTGCAGTGGCGCCCCCTCAGTCCTGGTGTCTGCATAGCCGCCATTGTGGCCCATCCTCACTCCCAGGGCATGGATTCACCGCCGGGGGAGGGCCCCGCCTGCTCCAAACCCCCACTGACTTTCTCCTGGGTCCTGAGCACACACCAGGCCCTGTGGCCGCAGGACCTCCAGCACCAGCCACTCCCACTACTCACTGCACCTCGTCCTGGCTCACCACCCTGCCGCACACCGAGCCTCTGGACACTTGGCCCCTCCGGCCTCTGCTTACACCCTGACCCGGGGCATTGTTGCAGGTGCCGTGTCCCGCTGGCACTGGGTGGCCACGTGCACCCCTAACACTCAACCCCTCCTGCAGCCCCTTCTTCACCCTGTCCGCCCTGCAGGCAGGTGCCCCCCAGGGGATGTCAGACTACCTTCTGATAAAGGACCAGGCTGCAGGGACACCGCCCTGCCCATAGCACAGGCCAGTGCGGATCCCCCTCCCCAGCTGTGCTCCTGGCCAGAGCCCCCACCCCTGTGAGAGAGCTGCCTCACCGTGCATCAGATTCTCTGGGGACCCCATCCTTCTCCTCCACCTGGGCCCCACGGGCCCCGAGGGAGCCGCCAGGAGAAGCAAGTGTCCCAAGATCCCCTCCTGCTCCTGATGGGACAGTGTTCTTGGGTGAGGGTCCCGCCTTGGCCTGTAGGGGCCCTTGGAGCTGCTCCCAGCCACTCTGGGGGGCACTCCCCAGCCTGGCCACCCCGCGAGGCAGGGCCCCGACCTGCAGATGCTGACTCCAGCTCTCAGGAGTTATTTCCAAAGCCTTTATGTCGATTTTAATTATCCGCAAGATAAAGGTCACTGCTGCCTCCGGGGGGCTGGGGTGGGGGACTCGTAACGGGAGGCTGCGCCGCAGGGAGATCGGCGCTTGACCTCTCTGGGAGGAAATGTCGATTAATTATCTTTTTACAGCCAACTCAATTAGACTCCCTAATCACCTGTGTAGGACGCGGAGACAAAGGCAGAGCGGCGGCCGGAGTAAACAAGCCTCCCGGAGGCCGGGCCGCGACCGTCGAACAGCCGCAGTGGGCCCCGGGCGGAGAGCCAGCCACAGGCTGGAATGTTTTCTTCATTTAAGTGAATCAAAAAAATAAATTGTTATCGGCCCTGAGGGGCCGAGAGCCGCCTCACGTGGAGGTGACCAGACACACCGCATTAGTCTTTAGAGCAGGCTCAATTAGCCGAGGAGCGCGTCGCTGCCAAAGGCAGAGGACTCGTGGGGCCGGGTCTCCACGACCCAGAGAGAGAAGAGGCCGCGTGAGTGCTGGGCAGGGCCGGGTGGGCACCCTCGGGACCCTTCTCGGACGGCCCAGGTCGCCAGACAACGGCTCGCTCTGGGCTACGTGCTCCCTGCCCACCCGTCCATTTGTCCAGTGTGGGGCTGGCCTGACGGGGCCCCAGATATTGTCTTCGACGTGACCCTGGAGCAGGACCTGCAGAGTCCCAGGAGTCCCTGCCAGGAGCCCCCAGCCTGACCTCTGCCCCACGTGTCCACACAGGCTGCAGCCGGGCTGGAGAGGCCTGGGGAGCCGGCCCAGACACAGACGGTCCCCACGTGGGCGACTAAGGCCGTATCCGGACTGCAGGCCTGGGGCAGGTTTGGTTCATGGTTTTATCCAGAGGCTTTCAAACTCAACAGTTCCCCAAGGAGCCTGTGTGAGAACCAGGCCAGCAGGGAGCTCGTGGGGCCTGGTGGGGAGGGGTGGGCGTACAGCCGTTCAGAACCCCAGCCCTGGGGCCCGCAGCGTGGACCAGGAGCCCCAGCCCCTCAGGCTGCGCTCGGCAGGGCCCATGCCGAGGACCACGGACTGTTCCTGACAAGGAACCTGACACCTTCCTTCCCCTTCCTTTACCAAAGCGTGGAAAATGGACTTGACACAAAGCCATTGTCCCCATTGGCCCACGTCCTTTCTGGATGCTCAGAAAATAAAGGTTGTGCTGCGTGCCCCCGAACCTAGCTCTCTAGCGCGGCCCTGTCCTCTCCTGTACGTGCGTCCTTCTGAAGGGGGCTGTACGTTGTGCACCCCGCCAAGTGGCTAAAGCATCCCCTTCCCCCAAATGCTACCCGAGTGCACACTGCTGTTTCCAGACTCTCTCCTGGCGCTCTGTGGGGCTGGACTCGCGAATGGGACATGAAAGAGGGGGTGGCATGGCTGCCTGGGGCGTGGCTGAGGACCAGCCCCGGGATGGAGGGGACGTGGGCCAGACGTGCGCTTGCGGGTGGGAGCTGGCAAAGC